TTCAACCCAAAACACTCTGCTCCTTCTCTCCCCGCTGCAGGACAGCAGGCTGCAGGAAAACAGCACACTGCTGACACCAGGCATCCCCGAAGTGCTGAAGGCAAAGCTGAGAGCAGATAATCTGCAGAGGAGCAGGAGCTGCCACACGGGTACCAGTTCAGCTCCCTGCAGAATTGGGTGCAGGCTGCAGCTCAGGAACGTTGAGGCAATCTTTCTAGGAAAAAATCTTTCTGCTAAAACTCCTGCAACACCTCTAGGTGAAACCTGCAGTGACACAGAAACCTGGTCCTGCTCCCAGTCCAGCCCCCAGTGCTGCCACTGCCACCCCAACCCTGCTCTCCAAACCATTTCCTGAAGTGCTGCACGTCAATAGAAGCATCCTGGAGCAGCTTCAGCAAAAATTCTGGATGTGTACCCACGGACACCAATCTTTGTGAAGAGAACAGTGGCAAAGATGTGAAAGCAAATACCTGGAAGCAAGAAAATGTCAGAATGCAGGCTGCAGAAACAGCCTGTGCATGTCATGAAGAGCAGCACATCAGCCAGGGGCAACAGGTGGCAGCTGCTTCAGGAAGGGGAACAGCAGCCTGAGAAAKTACTTTTCAAAATAAACTTTTTTAAATTTGAAAATATGTAGAGAAACAGGTAAGGAGAAAACTACTGACTGAACAGTGAGAAAACAAACACATCCAGAAAACGATATACAAGCTCCACTGGAGGAAGAACATAAAAGAAGAGACCAAATTTCAAATTAAAATCCTACAGCTTTATTCTCCAAGCCCCTGAAAACAATGATAGGTCCCACAGTTTTACTTGGGGGGAGAAAAAAGGAAAGGGTTGAACTGAAAGACCTGCAAAAACCTTGGAAACTCAACTTAGGCTTGCAATTAAGCAAAAAAAAAAAAAAAAGCTGACCCATTTGGTTGGCAAGATGGTTTGAAAGAGATACCCCCAACGTCCCCAAAACTCAGAAATGTGACAGAGGTAAAGATCCTGGCACCGTAGATGGGTTTGCACCAAATTCCCCAGGTTTTAAGCCACAAAGAGGCATTTCCAGGTCTCTGCAGGGAAGCTGCTCTGCCCACCTACCCACCCCTGCACCCCCAGGGGGGCCCAAGTACTCCTTTTCATTTTTTCTCTACCTCTTTATGAAARAAACACATTCTGAATGTGAACTCTTCTGTGAAAAGGCCACTTTTAATATTAATTGCTTTGCCTCCACAGAAGGAACTGGTAAATTGTATTTTTAGCCACTGCTTCCCACTGTTGCAGAAAACCTCTTGACTGAGTGCAACTAAAAATGAACCTTGTTCAYTCAGCTTAACAATAGCCCCGAAGAAAAACGATAAACAAAGTTTGTCGTGGATGAGGAATCAAATGAGTCAATTTGCCTTAGTGATGTTTTTTTTTTTTTTTTTGTCGTGCCAAAGATTCCACCAAAAAGCAGTTAAATAGAACCCTGGATCAGGTTTGTTTACAGGCACTTTGGCTCACGTTGTCACTGTGCTGTCACTCCACAATGTCCAGAGTTAGTTAYTGGGACATTTCAGTGGGGTTCTGCAAAAGGTAACAGAACAGTAACACACAGAGCACTGACAGAGCCTCACCCCACCACAGTGATGGAAATGGAACACCAAAAATCGGTATTTTGTGATACCTGGCTTTGTTTGATCCTYACCACACAGTGATGGAGCATCCTGACCCCAAGCACAATGCTTGAAACAATCCAAGGCTCCCAAAGTGACCCGAACACAGCTCACTCAGGGCTTCAGAGCCATAGCCCACAGCTAAACTGGGGGAACTCAGGATTAGCAACACAGGCTGCCCGACCCAAGCTGACARATGAGCCCTTCACCCCAAAATGCCAGATTGCAGGCTGCGATATTTCACTCAAAAGCCACGGAAGGAATAATCTGTTCATCCTTCTCGCGCGCTTGGCTAAAGCGCGCCTCATCACTTTGGACCCCACCGGCTTTCCCCAGCCCAGGAAACAAAAACCTGCCAGGCACTGGGGCAGCACGAACCACAAACATCACYAGAGGAGATGCAGTTTGAAGGCCAGTGATAAAAACCTGGCGGGGGAAGGTTTGAAAGGCTCAGCTCACCCTGGTGAGCCTGCAGGAGCCGCCCAGCCTGTCCCAAGCGGTCACTCCCATCAGCTGCCCTGCAGAAGAGCCCAATGTCCGGCCACTGAAGGGGCCATCCCGTCCCTTGTCCCTCCTGAAGACCTTTCCAGCTCCCAATGCCACCAGGGAGAGGTTTTTGGCACACTGCACAATGCGAGGTGTCAGGGCGATGGATCCAAGCCTGTGCCGGGCTCATTAATCTGGGATTTCACTCCCAAAACTCCATTTGTGAGACAATAACGTGCATTAACTCCTCCAGAGTTGCTAAAGTCTGCTGCAAACCAAAGCCTGGTTGSGCCCCCCCTACTGAACCGTGACATTTTGGTGACCGAAAGAGCCTGGGCTGTGTCACAACAGCTCCCAGCCTGGAGGAGGAACACTCTGCTTTATGCTCTTGGGGCAGTTTTATTGAATTCAGGCAATGCCCTGGGCTCAACAGCAGCTTTGCAGGCAAAAATCAGATGTCARTTGGGTTTTTATTTGCTTTCAACACATAGGCACTAATCCTGGAATAACAGACTCTCAAAACATCACCTTGGAAAAATGCAGGGATCGCAGGGATTCCGTGGGTCCATGGGAGATGGCCGTGCTCAGCACAGGATGCAGGAGAGCTCAGTGTCCATCAGCCCCCAGCAGGGGTGACATCCTCGCTGGGGTCACGCGCGGCATGAATTAAAAAGTAATGACCCCTCCCCTGAGAGGGAGGAACCTCGCCGAGAGGGGACCTCACCCGAARCAATCATTAATAACCCTTATCTCCTACCCATTAACTCACACCGCTTATCCACAAACAGGCGGAATTAAAGAGGTGCATTCCTGGCAAGATGGGCCTTTGATCAGTGAGTTTGGAACTGCGTGAGGAATCCTACCCCCAYGCCAGCGAGAGCTTCCTCTGGTGGAGCAGGTCCGAGATCACCCTGCCCGTCCCCAAGGATGGACACGGCGCTCAGCAGGAAGGGAGGGTGACAAGCTAAGCTTCTTCTGCTTGTCACTTTGTCACAGTGTGTTATTCAAGGCATCGAGTGACAAAAAAGAACCGTAAAGAGAAGCAGACCTGGGAGCTGAGACAGAGGGGGGTGTGGTGGTTTTTTTTTTTTATTTTTTTCCCATCTTAACAGACTGAGATAAATGTAGCAAACCCAAAATGTGGAGGTGGGGAGGACGTGTGTGTGCATGTGCCTTTTATCAACCGGAGGATCATTGGATGCTTCTGTTACCAAGGAGAAGCACACGCTTGGTAACAGAGGAGAGCAACATTTATTTATTTTTTTTTGCATTCCCATACGATAATATCCACTAACCTTATCATTTTTCACACGATGAGATTCAGAGCCCTCTATTAAATTTCACTCCGTGACAAATTTACCGGAATGAAAAAATAACTACCCGAGAGTGCAAGAATGCAATCACCAAGAGCAGCACGCTGGCAGGGCTGCCGGAGCTGGAGGGAATCGAACAGCCCCACTGCTCCCGGGGGGCTCCAGCAGCAACCCCTGTCCTGTCTGGGGAGTGCTTCTGTTCAGGAGGGGATACAAGGGAGGCAGAATTCCGGTATCTCATAGAATCCCAGAGTCATTTTGGCTGGAAAAGACCTCCAGGATCACCAAKTGCCAGCTGTGCCYGATCCCCACCGCGTCTCCAGCCCAGAGCCACGGCCAGGTGCTCCTTGGACACCACCAGGGATGGGCACTCCAAACCTCCCTGTGCAGCCCCTGCCAATGTTTAACAAACCTTTCCATGCAGAAATTCCTCCTGGTGTCCACCCTGCCCCTGCCCTGGCCCAGCCTGAGGCCGTTCCCTCTCCTCCTGTCCCTGTTCCCTGGGAGCAGAGCCCGACCCCTCCGGCTGCCCCCTCCTGTCAGGGAGCTGTGCAGAGCCACAAGGTCCCCCCCCCCGATTCCCCTTTTCTCCAGGATAATCAAGYCCAGCTCCCTCAGCCGCTCCTCGCAGGACTTTGAAGTTGTGTGAATAAACAAGAGCAGTACAGCTCCTTGCCGGGGGCTCCGGGGGGCTCGTCCTTGCTCTGTTACAGCCCAGCCGAGCCCCTTGTGCTCTTTACACCGCCGTGACCCATCCTCACTGAAGAGTAAGAGCCGCCACTGCGGGGAYCTGGATACAAAACCAGAGAGCAGAAACCCTGCACGGACTTTTCCGTGCAGCACCGCGGGGAACAACCACCCGGGGCGCGTCTCCATCAGCACAGACACTGCCGTGAGCGGTACCAACAAYTCGCGACGGCCGCGCTGTGCCCCCTCCCGCAGCATCTGCCATCGCCAGGTGCGCCACAAGGACACACGTGATATGTCGCCACTAGACTGCACAGAGACGGCTCCTCAGCAACATAAGTCTCACCCAAAAAAACCCCACTTTTCTCACAAAAAAAAAGTAAGCAAACAAACGGGGGGAAGATGAAAAAAAAAATTTAAAATTRAAAGAAAAAAAGGGCGGGTCAAGGCAGCTTAAGTATTGCAAGAGGAAGGCGAGATCGCAGCCGCGGGGGAAGCGCCGGTTCCCGCCGGGGAAACGCCGGTTCCCGCCGGCAGCRCCCGGCGGAGCGGGAAGTTGGGAACGGCGCCGAGAGGGCTCCTTCATCCTCCCGGGGCAGCTCCATCCTCCCGGGGGGCGCATCCTCCGGGGGTGCTCCTCTATCGTCCCGGGCTCATCCTCCCCAGGGACTACTCCATCCTCCGGGAGTGCTCCCCCATCGTCCCAGGCTCATCCTCCCGGGGGGCTACTCCATCCTCCGGGGGGCTCAAACTCCGGGGAACCTCCTCCATCCTCCGGAGGGTCCATCCTCGTGGCCGGCAGGGACTCAGCACACTCAGCAGCCAGCCCCCCGTTTTCCCCCCCGTTTCCTCCCAGCGGGCGCAGTACCTTCTCTCCGGTGAGCACATGCAGCCCCTCGCGGACCTTGGCGAAGGAGCCCTCTCCCAGCTTCCTGCCGATCAGGTAGTTGCCGACCCTCTTGGTGTGCTGGAAGTCGCGGAGCCGCTCCCGGGGCGCGGCGGCGCTGAGCCAGGCGGCCAGGAAGGAGCCACCGTCCRCCGCCGCCCGCCGCGCCTCCCCGCCCGCCGCCACGGCCGCCGGCTCGCCCAGGAGCCCATCGCCCGCCGCCGCCGGCATGCCCGACTCTGCCCGGCCCCTGCCGCCGTCCCTGTCCCTTCCCGAGCCCGGCTCCGGCCGCTGTCCCCGGGGCGGACACCGAAGTTGCTGCGGGGAGAGCGGCGGCTGCGGCGGAGGGGCCGCGGGGCGGAGCGGGGCGGGCGGGGGCCGGCGCTGGGGCGAGTCGAGGTGCCCCGGGCTGCCGCCCCTCTTCGGAGCCGGCGCCTCCCCCTGTCCCTCCTCCTCCTGCCCCGCCGCCGGCGTGAGGCTGGAGCGGGGAGGAGGGACGGAGGGAGGGGGAGCGGCTCGTTCGGTTTGAATTTGCGGTAATTTAATCCGCTCGCACGCGGCGGGAGCAGCTGCGATCCAGACCCGGCGGCCCGGGGGTTTGCACACTTGGCTATGCCCCCGCCATCGCGGACCGGGGGTTTGCACACCCGGCTGTTCCCCGGGCATCGCGGACCGGGGGTTTGCACACCCGGCTGTTCCCCGGGCATCGCGGACCGGGGGTTTGCACACCCGGCTGTGCCCCGGACTGGGGGTTTGCACACCCGGCTGTGTCCCGGGCATCGCGGACCGGGGGTTTGCACACCCGGCTGGGCCCCCGCCATCGCGGACCGGGGCTGCAGCGCATCCCTTTCCTGGGAATTAACCCGGCGCTGCCGCTCCGCATGTGGCTCCACTTCAGGGCTGCCACAAAAGCTTTTGTGTCGCTTTTGCGCACCTCTCTTGGCGAGCACGTCCGAGTCCCTGTGGCCGCCGCGTCGGAAAGGCGCGATGGCCACCGCCGCTCCGGCGGCTCCGTTCCGCTCCTTCCCCATTTTCGTCGCCTCCCGCTTCTCCATTTTATCCCTCCCGGCGCTCGGGGTCCCGGCTGAGCTCTCCCCATTCCGCTGCCAGCATCCCCCGAACGCTCCCTGCCGGCTGCAGGTTCAGTCCATAGGACTGGCATGGCCCCACCGACCTTCCCCGCCTCGCGGGGAGGCAGAGGGAACGAGGACCCTGCCATTGTCACTGCGGAGCCCCCTCCCACCCAGCTGGGGAAAGGGAGCGCAGGAGAGCAGGGTGGGAGAGGAATCAGAGCCGGCAAAGCCACCCTGCTCTGARTTTCTGACGGGCAGTGATGCTGTGCCCTCCTCTTTGTCTCTGCCGGTCAGTGATGCTGGCAACCTTCCACCCGTGCTGCGGGAGAGCTGATGGAGCAGTGAATTCATTGAAACGCCTCATAAGGATTTTAATTTCCRACCTATCTTTAGTGGTGTCAGCCAAAAAGTCACGAAGGGACCCTATTTGTCCCTGAGTGTGATCCACGTTTTMAGTTTTGCCTGAGTGCCTATGTTGGGGAATACTTTGAAACATGAAAGGAACCCTAAGAGAAGTGCACTGTGTCAGCAAAACCTCCCTTCGTGGTGCAGCTGTACCTGACCTAAAGCTCCCATCCCATCCCATCCCATCCCATCCCATCCCATCCC